GGCCAATTGTGTCACAAATTCCTCGGCAGAATGTAGTAGGATCTGGTTACCAATATTAAAAGAGGAAGTTATTAATAAGAAAATACCAGTATTAGTAAGTCAGTAACATATAGAGGATACATAATTTATGTTTTTTAAATAACGTAACATATAAAATCAGAAGTTTGATGTTTGTTGAAGGTAAACTAAATTCACGAACAAATACTTACAATGTCAGGATAGTATTATGAGGTTTTTTTCCTGGTTTTTCCCTCATAATTTACTATGGAATCACTAACAGGAGAATTCTACTGTCATCAAGTCATGTGTTTGTCTTTGTAAAGACGAATTACATGCTATGATTTTTTTTCTGACGGATATTCTCAAGTTAAAGTTGATTTCATGTAATCGAATGAACTATCTTATAAGTAAAGTCGTCCCAGGAGCGCAACTCAACAATATTGGCAATATCATTTTAAAGTCGTCTACTTTAAAATGCATAATGTATGTCTGAATTGTCAATATAAATGAGTCAGATAAAATTAAATTATTAGAAGAATTTTTCACTATGTAACAAAAAACAAAATTTGTTTAATTTACTGTTTGTATTTTGAGAACGATTTCCGAAGTGGAAATTGAAACGTCAATAAACGTATTTTTATCTTTAATTGTGGCTTATTCCCAGTTAAATCGAAAAATTAGGTAAGGACTGCGTAAATATCTACAAACATACTTAATAATACAAGAAATTTAAAGTTATATGATAGTTAACGTTAGCTTACAAAATGGAGCTCGCCAGCCATTTTTTTCTGTTGAAGTCACTGAAAGATGGCTAAGTTCAGCTACTCAAACATTGATCAATGAAACTTTTGAATTTATTACAATAGTTTAAACTTGCACTGTATAAGTAAAAGTCACCATCGATTCAAAGTTAAAAAGAAATAAAAGTAGTAAATCGAAGAGTCGAAATGAAAACTTGTCTGAACGTCAAAAATTGAAAATTGAGTTATAATGTGATTTTCGGTGTATAAACCAACGTAAACGACGCATGGAGGTATCATGGAGTTCGTAAAATGGAGAGAGCTAATCGATGTGTCATTAACTTCTCTCCCATAATAGCGTTAGAGGTGCCGATGATTGGTAAATGGATATATTATATCCAATGAAAAACCAAATTATCGTTCGATATACAATTCTTACTGCTAGTAAATTCTAACTGCTACTTTCATATCGGAAGCCATTTTAAATCCGGACAATTTAGTATTAACGTTATTCATAATAATTTCAAAAAATATATATATCTACATTATAGATATTTTCTATTTTTATGTCACTGTTGCTATATCACTGATAGCACTAAAAATTAATTCAAACATTTAAAGGATATTTGGAACAAAAAGGTTTTACATAATTAACTTGTCCAAGTCATTAGAATCTGTTTCTTGACCAAGCCAGTTTATATTAAGCAAGATCACGATATTTATCTACTGTATTGCCTACTTAACTAATGGTTCATGCAATCATGCGAGACAAAGCATATAAACAAAGCAACAATATTTTACTTCAGTCACGGTCAACTATACTCTGGCGAAGGGTCCTGGTACATAAAATGCTCCTGGTAAAAAATGTAAAACATGTTGATAGGTATGAATCCAATTTACTACTGAGAAAGGCACAAAACCCAAATTAATCTTCCATGATGATGGCCAACCTTCAGTAAGAAAGAGGTAAAGTAAAAAAGAAAAGGTAATATCTCTTTTATAACCTATATCAAGTTTGGCATAATATATACCTTAGCGTTGTTCTCTTAGTGCTCTATTTATAACATCAGCTTCTAAATTTCCTTTAAAATATAAGGAATCCAAATCACTTTCTCGTTAGATACGTAAAAGAGCAAATCCCCAATGAAGACCATGGTGTTTACGAGATATCTTGTTGCAGTTGCCCACGAACATACATAGGACAGACAAACTGACGAATTCACAACCATATTTACGAACATTTTATATTTACAAAATATTGCGATACTATTTTAGTCCTAGCTCTAACAGTTTAAATGCGCGCAATAACACTAAAAGACTGCCGGTAACATGGCGACCGCTGCTTCAGTGACCCCAGGGTCAACCGATCCCGCTTAGACCATTTCTGCGCATACCGTTCCCACGTTAACAGTTCCCCATAGTTGCTGGAGCAGTTAAAATAACGAGATGAAGATTCAAGTGGTTCTAAAAAGATTCTTCAAGATTAAGAAAGTGCTCATCATCAATGGGGAAAATCTAGAAACATTTGAATTCCAGTCGGGTAAAAATCGATGAAACATTTAAAAAAGTTTCTAAAAAAATCGATGAGAGATTCAATAAAACTTCTGGAATCATAAAAGGCAAGTTCGAAGAAGTTTCTCGAAACTCTAAGGAGAAACTAGAAGAATTTTCAAAAAATACCGATTAGAAATTCGAAAGGGTTTCCAGTAAAATCAAAATAGTTGGTAAAAGGCTTGACAAAATTCAAAAAAATGAAGATTGTATAGCAGAAAGGTTGGAAAAATAAAAAAACTAAAAATTAGTTAACTAAAGGGTCCAAATGGCAGATCTATCACACATAGCCAGAAAGAGATGCAGCAGATAAGGCCTACAGTCAAGACTTATACCAAGAGTGAAGAGAGAATAGTTAATATAATGGACACATGAATGAGATTCTAGTTGCCATCGTTTAAGAAAAAATTTTCTTCGAAACTTCCGAATCGACTTCAGAGGTGTTAAAGAACTAGATCTAGTTGACATAAAGGAGCAATCATCGACTTCAAGAAGTAAAGTCCCCTTGTAGTTACTGTTAACATAGGAGGTGGAGTTCATAGCTTGCATTGATGTTCCTACCGATAATAAGGACAATCATTTTTGATAGATATGGGTGTGACAAGAATAATTGTACGACCAAAAACATCATCTTATCAGCACCAGTACAACTTAGAAAAGCAACTGGTGAGAAACATACGGCAATGCATCGAAAAGATCTTGTTGATATGGTCATAAATATATGACTCGAAAATGAACACATACAATAAGTAAAAGCTATGCTGGGAGAATGTGAAGACGTTTTTGCCATGGATGAAAATGATAAGGATAAAATAAATATAGTAACCCATAAAATCAATACCGAAGATGATCTGCCAACCAAACAATAACCGCAAAGGCTTTTGTTTGCTGAACGAGACGAAGCTAAAGAAATTAGAGTTATGATCAAACAAACTGTGGTCATTGAACCAGGTCATGATCCTCGTCTGTAGTCCAGGTAAAAAATAAAGATTTCCCTCGTTGTTATATTGACAAACACCAAATTAATGCGATAACAAACAAAATTACCCCTTGGCCAGAACAGGAGATACATTAAGTAATCTCTCCGGGTTCCATTTGTTCTATACGCTCAACCTAAAAAGTTGATATTGGCAAGTAGAAATGGAGCCAGCTGATCTCCAGAAATCCGTATTCTAGACGGAATAGGTAACCTTTGAAAGTCTATTGGGGGTAGTTTTGAGAAGGCTGACATGGCAAATATGTTTCATTTATTTGGATGACGTAATTGTGGTTGGAGGATCATTCGACGAGTATTACAATCATATTAGGAAAGTCTTTCAATTATTACGTGCAGTTAATATAAAACTGAACTCAAAGAAATGGCATATTCTTCAACGAGAAGTTAGATACGTAGACCATATTGTATATCCAGTAATGGCACTACAACTGACCCTGAGAAAGTTGAAGCATTCGAGAATGGCCAAGTTTCCTCAGGGTATTCACATATTATCAACGATTTTTCAATGGATTTTTATTTTATAAAGATTACCGAAGAGGTAAATAATATATACCGAATGGTAAGTTTATTTAAATAAAGATCAAAATTATTCATTTTTAAATACTTATATAAATAAAATATCTCAATATTTAGTCTAAAGGATTTTGGTTAAAAATCATCCTAGTTTGACATTAAAATTATGCAGTTAACATTCCTGTGTATGTTTCTTGGTATTTAAATTTCTCTTTTTGGCAAATGAGAGTGTTACAAAATTAAACCCTCTTAAGCCATAGCTTAAAAAATTTTTCCACAGAATTCTCTGATGAGCATACATAAAAGTTTCCATAAAAGTTAATTTGTAAAAGAAGTAATTATCACGTCTGGAGATGTGAACCTTGAAATTAAAAACCATATTTCATGTTATTTCGCACTTACTTATACAAACTATACAATTTCCATTTGATCTAAATAAGAAACCACCTCGTATCCGAATATTCACAGCGCAAAATGAGTTCCTTTGAAAAATAATAATGTTTATTGGTGTCAGGTGTTGACTTTCCGGTACATAACATCTAAATGGAACATGACATGAAGTGCGCCTGCATTTTGTTACAGAATTAAAACGGGACAATACGAGAAAAAGATCTTAGAATCTTCGCATTCATATTTTGTGCTAAGTGTTGCACGCTGAGATAGTTTTTGCAGTAAACATACTTACCAAGAATACATTGTAAGGTTTATTTTCCCCAGAATTTAATTAATTAATATTTTAATTTTGAGATACTAATTAGGTGAAGTACTATTAGTATTAAATTACATAAATGAAGAAACTACCCCTGAGAACATATCTCCTAGGGCATATTTATTATAAAAAATTTCTCGCTCAGTTCTAATTCATCATTAAATAATTCATAATTTATCATTAAAATATAAGAAACACATATATACATTATCATTTAATCATCTAGACCAAATGCCCTATTCATCTTCGTCTTTGATGATTTGGTTAATAAAATTTAGATCGTTGTTTGTATAACCTGGAAAAGTGTGACCCACGAAAAAAATTATGACACTAGCTATTTACATATTGTGGATAAAAAAGCTACAAAGACTACCTGCAGACTAGAACGTTTTAAAAGTAAATAATGATAAAAACCTTTGATTTTATTATGTTTAATAAAAGTAAAAAAAATAGTAATTTTTTTAAATAAAAACAAATTGTCTTAAAATAGTTATTCCCTTACCTGCGTCTCGGTAACGTTCAGTAATTTGGCCATCTCGGTCCGTTCACTGCTGCTAAGATACTTTTTTACTTCGAACTGTTTCTCCAATTCAAAGATTTGTCTTCCGGTAAAGGTGGTCCGAGCTTTCTTCTTCTTATTTTTACTGTCTATATCCTCCGGAGTTGCGTCTACTTCTAGTTTTGGCTGCGCTACCGTTGGAGTAGTTTCTGGAGCTGATTTCGTTTCAACAGTCTCTTTCATAGTCTTTTTCCTCTTTTTTGTAGAGTCTAAAACAATACCCATGGATTATACAGGGTTAACCACTCAAAAGAGTCCACTGAGATTTGGCAATATTCATTGTATTTGTAAAAATCCTAAAACGTATCAATTTTTATTCCAAAGAGAATCTACGGTTTCGTTTTGTATAATTATGTATATACATAAGTATATACATAATATATGTATAATTATGTATATACCTATTACATTCCCGGTCCCATTATACATATATATATATATATATATATATATATATATATATATATATATATATATATATATTGTTATGATGTATCATATATGTTTTTTTATTATTCCGGTATTCTTTGGACCTTACCTATTCTATCCCTGAGATTAAATATTGTGATATAATCATAATTGCATCATTTAAATAAGTTTAATTAATTAATTAATTAGCTAATTAATTGCCTTACGCAACTCAGACTTTTAATATCACATTAATATATATATATATATATATATATATATATATATATATATATATATATATACATATATATACATATATATATATATATATATATATATATATATATATATATATATATATATATATATATATATATATTCTGATAGATTTCCGCGATAAGATAAATGAAAATCATTAAGTTCTCGGAAAGAACCGCGTTGAGAGTTTAATGCTCGACGTTTCGGCACCCATTTTGGAGCCATTTTCAAGATGGATACGGTTCCGTTCGAGTTCGGGGTCTCAATCTGCCTACTCCTCTCACTCGTGACGTACCAGTATCGTGTTCTGTATAAATACAAGAACCGTCTAACGGCACTGAGGTCTCAATCTGCCTACTCCTCAGTGTCTAGTTACTCATAAAGTCATTTTAACATTTTATTTAAATTTATTTTTACAAAATTATTATCTGCATAAAAATGGTCGAACAACCGCTATTGTCCTCTTAAGCGTGAATCTCTAGACAATTACGATTCGCTAATTCGGAAAAAAAATAATATTCCTCATACCGTACCGTCTACAGGGTGTTGCGATTTTGTCGGTCGGTTGATTTGATTTTTTTTTTTATTTGATGTGGCACCATATATGTGGCATACATTTGCACTTAACTTTTTTGCTCTTTAAGTTACCGGTGTTTGTGATAAAAAATATTAAAGATACATTATTTTAACAAAAAAAGGTATACTTCTTAATAACTTCAAAACTCAACAGTTTTCGAGATAATCGCATTTTACAAATCAACTACATAATTCTGATTTAACGCAATTACTCCAGGCAACGAAAGAAAAATGGACAAAAACATCAATACTTCTGAATTTTGGTTATAAAATATCTTAATAAAGTTAATAGTTAACGAAATATTAAATAAAATAAATATATCAGCAGGATAATTATTAATAATAGGATTTGACAAAATAACAGAATAATTGATTTTACATCAAACATTTTACGTTTTATAATAAATTAAAGTCATAATCAAAACATTTTATTTACAAACCAATTTAAAAAATAGTTAAACTGAATATCATTAAACTTTTTGTCAAAGTAAGTGTTCGATATATCCACCATTTTCTTTAATTCATTATGTCAATACATTCATAAAAGAACGTCTCATATTAAATAGCATCATTGGTTCTAAATAAACTGTGGCAGTATTTATGATAAGTATTATAAGTTCATATAATAATAAGTATTCTTTTGGGATTTTTATGCATTAACTAATTATATTAATATTTCCCACATGACCAACAAAAAGGACTACCACGAACAATCTAACGTTCAGGAAAGTTGTATTTAAGTATGTTCTTATTGCCCTCTCTCTATAATGTGATGGTGTATCATCTTGCATAAACCACATATTTTGCTTTAAATATTCCAATAAATCAATAAAATCAATTTATAGAAAATGTAAATAAATCTCACCATTCAAATTATAAGGTAATTCGCAAATCCGTAAAAAATAATTACTAATGGTTCCAAACCATACGTTTGTTTAAAATTAATGTTTCAAATGCAAGTCGTATGGTTTGGAACCATTTGTAATTACTGTTTGAGAAACGTACTTTGCAGTCATGATCTTAGCATTGACCTTAGAGTTCGTATGATATCTTGCTACATCTTTCCTGTCCTGCTGTATGGAGTAGAAGCGTGGACCCTAACTGAAGCTATGCTTAAACGCTTGACAGCCTTTGAGATGTGGGTATACAGACGACTACTGAAAATAAGCTGGATCGACAGAGTTAGAAATGAAGAGGTCCTTAGACGGCTGAACGAAACAACACAACTGGTCAATATAATAAAGAAACGCAAGCTGGAATACTTCGGTCATATTATGAGACACCCTGAAAAATATGATCTTTTACATCTGATCATTCAGGGAAAGATCCAAGGTAATCGTGGTCCTGGTAGAAGAAGAACATCATGGCTAAAAAATCTAAGGCAATGGTATGGAAAATCAACTACATCGTTATTTAGAGCTGCTGTCAATAAAGTCACGATAGCGAATATGGTAGCCAACATGATATCCAACGATCGATAACGGTCATGGAACTAGAAGAAGAAGAAGAAGTTTACGTCATGCGAATTACCTTGTAATTTGAATGATGGGATTTATTTACATTTTTTATAAAATGATTTTATTGATTTATTGGAAGAATTGTCATCAAACTTAAGGCGAAATATGTGTTTATGCAAGATGGTACACCACCACATTATAGAGAGAGGGCAGTGAGAACATAATTAAATACAACTTTCCTGAACGTTGGATTGTTCGTGGTAGTCATATTCCTTGGTCATGTGTTGAGATATTAATATAATATTTAATTCATAAAAATCCAAACGAATACTTTATTATTATATTATATTAATTATATTATACTTATAATACTTATTATAAATACTGCAGCAGTTTCTTTAGAACCAATGATGCTATTTAATATGAGACGATCTTTTATGAAATGTATTGACAAATGAATTAAAGAAAATGGTGGACATATCGAACACTTACTTTGACAAAAAGTTTAATGTTATTTAGTTTAACTATTTCTTAATTTGGTTTATAAATAAAATATTTTGATTATGACTTTAATTTAATACAAAACGTAAAATGTTTGATGTAAAATCCAATTATTCTGTTATTTTGTCAAATCCTATTATTAACTATCCTGCTGATATATTTATTTTATTTAATATTTTGTTAACTATTAACTTTATTAAAGGTATTTTATACCAAAATTCAGAAGTATTGATGTTTTTGTCTAATTTTCTTTCGTTGCCTGGAGTAATTGCGTTAAATCAGAATTATGTAGTTGATTTGTAAAATGTGATTATCTCGAAAACTGTTGAGTTTTGAAGTTATTAACAAGTATACCTTTTTTTGTTAAAATAATGTATCTTTAATATTTTTTATCACAAATATCGGTAACTTAAAGAACAATAAAGTTAAGTGCAAATGTATGCCACATATGTAGCATATCGATACATTTTTGGCAAAGTAACGTAAGTCACCAAACACGATTTGTAGAAAAAACAATTTTGTAATTTAACCTGGTTAAAATTATTTAAATTATGACTGAAAAAACTTGTCCTACTTGTTCTAAAAAAGGTTTAAAGTAATTCTACGCTTACTACACTTTGGCAGTACCTTTTTAACAATAATAGTGTTAGTTTTAATTGAAAAACATGATTTTCGCCAAAAATATCACTTACGTTACTTTGCCAAAAATGTATCGATATGTGGCGCCCTCTATCAGCTTCATTAAAGTATACGTCAAATTATAATTCCTCGTAATATTTTACAGTGTAGAATCTACGGTTTCTGTTTGTACAATTACTAAGGACCTCCCTGTATATATATACATATATATATATATATATATATATATATATATATATATATATATATATATATATATATATATTAAATTTAAATTCTCGAGACGATGCCCAAAGATTGCCAAAAACATAGAAACCAATTATCCCGAAGAATAACGCAAGAACGGAATTGACCAAGACCCCGCCCACTGACCTGCGCACTGGACCAATTACAAGAGCGCGCGCAACGCACAGTAACTACAAAAGCCAGCTGCCTAACACCCGTAGCGTCACTTCCACTCGAACATCGACAAGAAGCAGACCATCCAGAGAGACTTGAAAATGGCAAGTGAGATCTTGCCGAAACGTCGTCAAAATGGTTTTTATCAAAACCAACAACATTTAACGCGGAGTCAAACCCGGAATACCATTGATATAACATACAGCTCCCGCGGAAATATCAAAACTAACATAATATATATATATTATATATATATATATATATATATATATATATATATATATTATATATATATATATATATATATATATTATATATTATATATTATATATTATATATATATATATTATATATTATATATATATATATATATATATATATATATATATATATATATATATATATATAGATCCTAAACTGTTTTCGTTACGTCTAAGCATGCTGGTCTAAGTAATTTTATCTGGACGTGATTATGTTAAGAGTAAGTAATTTTTTCTCATGAAAATAACGGCGTATTATAGACGCAGCTACATTTTCTTTCCTCATCTTATAAATGTTTAAATAAACGTTTTCAAGTTATCTGAAAAAAAGGTATAAAATACCCCAACGCCCAGATTTCAATTTATAATTATTTTTGTTGTTGCCATGCTTGGTGACGTTAAAATACGGTTATATAATTGAAAATTTGTATTTAAGCGGTAAGTCTGATTTATTCTTGTGTTCAAATCATAAAATATAGAAAGATTTTCGTATCTTCCTGGAGTCCTTTTCCTAGGACTGGCATTGAGTAGCAGTACACATCAACGTGTCACCACCTATGCAGTTTTAATACCAGGCTCCTTACAAAGCAGCCTTTCGTCAGTATGTCATCAAGCTTTCTTCGTCTTTTTGCCGACGAGGTGAGAATGGGATTCAACCAGCCTTTCTAATGTGATCTATTTT